TGGTCGTATCAGCAATGCGACAGGATTTCATCAGCTCATATTTCAATTTTCGTGTTATTTCTGTCATTCGATGATTGAACTGGAATTCTGAGGAATGTTAGCTTTATTTCATAAAAAAAATCGTTATATTTAATCACATTAGGATTTGTGAATGAATTAAGTTATTCAAGCTAGCTGCCTTACCTCAACAAAACTGTCGATGCACCCATGACAATCCGTCAACTAAGGACAATATATAAACTCAAACTACTGAATAAATATTTTCTATTCAATCATGTATCATTGAATATTAAAATTATTATCGCTAAAACTGACAATTAGAGCGAAATCAGGCGAGTGGGAATGAAACGTAAAACATCATTTGTTTATCTGATTTCCTTTTCTCATTCTCTGCTGGATTTTATAATTTTTAGATGTAAGTGAATCAATTTTGGAAGGAGTTTATTCGTACTTGTAAGAAAGATGCAGATATTATCAGACGTGATCGAGTAGAAAAGTATGCATTCTCTAAACTGGTTTATAATCAGTTATTATATTAGTGTTCATATTAATATATGTAATTTTCTTCTTTTCTGTTCCAATAACCACGTCATTGATGTAACTCTCTTTAATCGATTTCATATGTACAGAGTCTCCCAAAATGCATACATATTTTAAATGATTACAAAGAGAGTGCTTATTACAATATATTTCATTTTCAAACATTCAAAATAATCTCAAGACGGGATTTATTTTTCTGCCAACGCCTGATTTACAATTAATATCCGTTATGGTCCGTTCACTGCTAAAAACGCGAAGCAATGTCTTCATTAATATCTAGAAATCGTTTTTTGGATATTTTCCTGAACTGACGTTCGATGACTGGCCGCAATTCATCGGCGTTTGTCTGTTTCTGATATGAACACTTTTTTAAAATATATACCCCCGAAAATCTAGCGTTGTGAAATCTTGTGAACGTGGATCGGTATACTATTCTTCATATATCAAGAGATTATAGAACTCGTTATCCAATTCACTTGTTTAGTAAAATCTCAATAAGTCTCTTTCAACACTTTGAAAATATTACTCTTGCTGTAAATGAATCTAATTTTTCTCAATGTCCTCCTGAATGTGTCGCATAATCTACTGCCCATGGAAGATCAATAAAAGGGACCCGTCACAGTATGTCCAACAAAAATATTCCACTCTATCCCAAATTCTAACTCCTGTTAGATTAACATAATTTACTCTCATAATATGCAGATTCTCTTATAGGTTGATTTGTGGTGGTAAATTATCCCATTGACTTAAATGTAGTTTCATACTTTAAAACAATGTTTCTTTGAAATAGTGCAACGTCTAAACATCTTGCCCAGTAGCGCACTCAAACCTACACTTTATTCCAGACAATTTCTATGGAAAGTTTATCATTTAAATATACATTTTGACGTCTGATATATTTAGACATTAACTTGGAGTATATTTTCCAACATTAGTATCCGTTGAATCTTTAGCGTCATTGATTTTAATTATCCTTTATTATATTTGTTGTGATTGTATGATGAAAAATATGTGCGATCATATATTACATATCACTTCCTCGGAAATTACTCTCAATAAAATAAGTGCCAATTACAAAATAAATAAATAAATAAATAAATAAACAGTTACAATTAAGAATGACAATGAATCAGAAAATAAAATTTAAATTTCAAGGAGGCGCGTCTCGGCATTTGTTTATTTTCTCCACAATTATTCGTACATTTATATTTCAGAATGATTTCATCAATAATAAAAAGTTGACTGATGAAGTTAAGTATCATTATTAAAGGAACTATTGAATATGGTTTTGTCCAACATGTCTTCCATTTGGCCATTACACAGACACGTACACACAAATTTTCTATTAACCTGTAGTTTTGTTTAACTTTGAACGCAGTCAAAACAGTCACTCTTTTTTATCCAAAACTTTTTAGAATAGCCAGCTGAACTGCGTTAAATTTAAAGAGCTGGGTGATTCCCTAAATATATGTTTAACTAGGCCGACTGTGGAGCGCGCGGCTATCGTGCGCTACCAGTGTCAGGTAGTTCGACATAGGTTAAACAAGATATCTAACGAAGCTGAGAACGTGAGCAAATAAATGCGCAAGGAAGAGATCCGTCGAGATTCCAATACGTTACATTTGTGAAAAAACCTGAAGCGATATAGTCTGGGGTTGACTGATGACATGTGCGAAGCGTTTTTGACGGCATTTTGAGAGCCGGTTTACCCAGGAGGGTGGTCTCACTAGCAATGAGTTTCGCTGCTAATTGGCAGATTTTTCTCGGCTTTCGCTGACTGAAGCAGCTAGATGCGAGGGTGATATTACGGAGGTTGATAGCCACTTGGCATTGAAGAGTGACAAGTCTCCGGGGCTTGATGATTTACGCTATGAATTGTACATGAGACTGTGGCACATCATTGTCCCTATTTTGACTGTCGTGTTCAACAACTGGTTCCGACAGGGGTCCATCCCCAGTCGGATCACCAGGGGTGTGATCACGCTAGTGAAAATGAACAGGGATGGTGGACGGGATTTAGACGATTATATGCCCATAATTCTGCTACACACAGAGTTAAAGGTTTTAGCCAAGATGCTGACGGAGCGTCTGCAGTCACTTTCAGAGACACTGTTGGGATTTTATCATGCTGTGAAGAGTTGAAGAATTCATAGCAATCTGCATCTGATGTGCAGCATCTTAGAGGGTGTAAAAGACGATAAAAAATCAGCGCTGATCAATTTGGATTAGTCCAAGTTCATTTAATAGTGTCAACCATCGTTATATGGCTGCTGTTCTGCAGGCCACCGGATTCGAACCTGACTTCTGCAGGTGGATTGGCCTACTGTATCGCTCCCCCAGTGTTGCGGTACATGTAAACGGAAAGCGATCGCGCGATTTTGCGCTGTCTCGGTCGGTTCGTCAGGGTTGCCCACCATCGCTCCTATTTTATGCCTTGTCGTTGGAGTCTCTCCTTCGCCGACAGAGGGACAGGTCGTGGATTCGCTGCCCCTGGAGGACTCAAGCGAGAGTTTTGCGTACCCCAATGACGTATTCGTTTTCGTGTCGGGCCGCAGCGACATTTAGTTGGTACATAAAGCGCTTGAGCAGAATTATAGGGTGAGTCATCGACACACATCGAGGTTGTCTTTCCTACGCCGAGTTTTGAGAAAGGATTCGATTTTGGAAGGGAGCGTTAGGGGCGCCTCTCATAGCCTTACTATCATTCATTTCCCATTTCCTACGATAAGAACAGTCCGAAGTGCTGGAAATTAGTTTCCTCAGCGAGTGCCGAGCGTCCGTCAGGACTTTTCCTCGGTCCAATGACGTTTCACGGCCTCAAACGGTCTTGTATCGTTAATTCATGTAGGGGATCGCGAAGTACCATCTCTGTAAGCGGCTCGGCTTGTCGTTGGACGAATTGCGATCTTCTTGTCTTGCGCGTCAGTGGCGGATTACCTCATGAACACTGAATTTCCGCTTACCTGGGGAATGGTTCGAAATGTGCTATCTCTCAATGACATGGCCTTCAGATGTGGCTGGGTGGATTTGCCCGACTGATACCTGTGTTACCTTGGTTTCCAAGAAACGGCTTTTCACGCCTTCTATTATTGTGCTCATCACTCTCGCATACGCGTGCGATAATGTGTCGACTCTGTACTCTAGGTGGAAACGAACGCTGTTTCTAACCTTGCTAGCCGTGGTAAAAAATTGTGATCTAAACGACGCGAAATTTGGCAATCTTACGACACGAGCGCTATTCTTATGAGGCTCTGACTGGATTCTTTTAGTATCAGCTGAAAGTGAAAATTAGAACTGAGAGAAAGCGTTTACTTTCGACATATATCAACGAAAAGTGGGTGAAACTAACGAGTTTGGTTCGTGTGAAAGGGGCTATACTTTAGTTCCTTTGTTAATTCTTCTTCATCACGACGGGGGTGGTTTTACTGTGAAACTTCTTCTGGTTAAGTTAGACATTCTGTAACTTGTTAATGTGATTGAGTGTCGTTCCCGGGCTATACCCGGTTCTTTACTTCTGTTAAGAGCCAAGTTGAGAATCCCAACTGCCCCAGTTTGTTTTTGGCACATTTTTCATTTCGACTGATTCATTTTTTAGTTAGTTAGATTCTTGATTCTGTCTGATGACAGAATACAGCGACAACTGTTATTTGGGGGGATGGGCGTGTCCTACTAACATCTGTTATTTTCTGTATGTAATTGGGATCCCTATCCCTCCTCGTCATTGCATATCTACTGATGGTAAACGATGGCTTCTTGTATTGAATGACGAAATTGTTACTGTGAATGGGTTGCGAATCGGATAAGTTAGGTGGTATAAGAGAGACAGTGAAGACCAGCCTTTCTCCATTCTTTTTCGGCCTTGTTCCACATAAAAATATATATTGTTAAAATAAATTCCGTCTTACCAGGTATTCTATGAACTCCCTTAAATAAAAATCGCTTAATGATTATTGCACGAATTTCACACATACGAAAAGGGGATTCAATAGGAGGAAAAGAAGCGTTAGTCATCTATGCCCTATCACTTACACTCCAGTTTTTCAACAGACAAAATATTACAGAAATTTCACTATAAATTCCTAACTAGTCTTATATGTAAATTTTGTTTACGTTGGTGCGAGGTTTATAAAAAGAACATTTGTAAATGTTCCCAATGATTATATCCGCCTCATGTACCGGATAATGACCACAGATTCTCCTGAAGGAGAGTTACAAGCTGATGAATGGTTTCCTGGAGCTTTAACTGATATTAATTTTAACTTTCACGGTGTATAGAGACCACGGGAGCATTTTTAATAACTACGCCCAGTTCAGATATGACAAAAGGCTTAAAATATTGGTATCTTAGTGGGGATTGAACTCACTAATAACACGTAATTGATATAGCGGAAGTGGCGATATTTCAGGTTCGACGACACCGAACGACGCCGGTCACGGCGAAGGCCGGAAAACCGGGACGAATGAAACGCCAGCACACCGAGGAGGCGGAGGCCCCGCCCGACAGAGAAGAAAACGGAAGCAGGAGGCGAAGAGTGAACGACGACGACGAGAGGCGAAACCCCCACCACCGGCCGCAAACCCAAGTCCCCGCGACCGCATCCGCTACCGCCAAACGAAACCGACCCCTACGGCAACCGACGGCCGCCGCCCGGCCCCGATCAACGCGCTCCCAACGCCGACAAAGGCGTGTCTCCCGCCTATGCTACACCTCCCGTGTCTCCTCACAGAGTCGGACTAGAGTCAAGCTCAACAGGGTCTTCTTTCCCCGCCGATCGTTCCAAGCCCGTTCCCTTGGCTGTGGTTTCGCTAGATAGTAGGTAGGGACAGTGGGAATCTCGTTGATCCGTTCATGCGCGTCACTAATTAGATGACGAGGCATTTGGCTAACTCACGACACCTCGCCTGCACGCTCGTTTGGCCGCCCGAAGGGCGTTGCCCAAATGTCACCGCGTGGAGGTAGAGCGCATTTTAATCGTCATCTCCAGGCGAGGGCCGGAAATTTCCCTTTAACCTATGAAGGTTAGGTGAGTTAGTCCCCCGACAGCAGGGGGCCCCATTGGCAACTCAGGACGTAGACGACATAGCCCCAACATTACCGGGGGAACAGCGGCGACATACCCCACAGGCGGACCGAACCGACCCGTACTAGAGCGAACCGGGCATGAGTACACCACCGGGACTGGCGCGTACCCACGGCAGAGACCCAGCAGCGCAAGGAAGATGGTCGCGAAAAGCCCTCGAAAGCTGGTCGCACTTGGAACGCCCTACAAGTGCGACCCGGGCACGCGCACACCCCCCGACACCACCGGACCCCGACCGCAGGACGCCACCGGCATCAACGGCAACCCATGGGACCGGCACGCACCAGCGGGAGAGACCCAGCATCGCCAAGAGATGGCAGCGATATGCTCTCGAAAGCTGGTCGTAAGGCTGCCGAATACCGTGCGACCCGAGCACGCGCCAACCCCAGACAACACCAGGACCCAGCCACAGGACGCCACCGGCACCACGAGGGCGACAGCACGCCAACGGACGGAGCCAGCAGGACCGGCCCGTATCCAACCAACAGGGCATGCACGCACCCCCAAATTTTGCTGTCGAGGAGAACCATCTTTGGCCACCGTCAGTCGAGACGGGAGAGTGAAGTAGTTTATTTACGGAGAAGGCCAATAATATACAATCAAAGGGGGATGGCAATAGACCCACAAAGACCGGGGACATTTAGGAAGCCCAGACACCCCGCATTTATGGTCTGCGGACGACTTCCCAGGCTCTTAGCCAGCCGTGAGCAGAAAGCTACTGGCTGTTACCAGCGGGACCCTGTAGGAGGGGGCCTAGCACCATTCATCTCTCTCGGGGATGAGCCCCTTAAGAGAGTCATAGTTACTCCCGCCGTTTACCCGCGCTTGGTTGAATTTCTTCACTTTGACATTCAGAGCACTGGGCAGAAATCACATCGTGTCTGTACGGGTCGACCGGCCACACGATGCTTTGTTTTAATTAGACAGTCGGATTCCCCCGGTCCGTACCAGTTCCGAGTTGACCGTTCGCTGCCGGGCGAATGCCCCCACGCCGAGAGACGCTGAGCAACGGGCGGGACGGGCGCGCGTGCGAGCCGCCTGCGCGCGAACGCAGGTTGAGGCCTACACACGCCGTTTACCCGAAGAGGGGCTGGAAGCCGTGGCGCTCCACGAAGACCCGGGCGAGGAGCCGTTTTGCTCGCCGGCCGACGCGCCGGTAGCGACGGGGTGCCGCCGCGAGCGGAGACCCGTAGCGCATCCTACACGCGAGACGCGAAACGGGAAAGAGGACAGAGAAGGGAGCGGAAGACGACGAGCGTAAGCAGCGAAGAACGGGTTGACTCGGAGTTCGTGAACGACGCATCGCGCACAGACAGACGACCCGATATGAGCCACCGCCAGATGCACGAACGCGAGCGCCCGTCGCCCCGACCCGAAAAAACACCGAACACCGCCGAACACCGCCTAGCCCGACCCTGCGACCCCCGACCCGAGCACGACCGCGACGCCGCGACGCCAACGGACCGCTACGACACTTTGAACCCGCGAACGGAGCGAACGCTACAGCCCCGTACCGGTTCCTCGCTTCGCACGGGCACGGCCCGACCGACCCGGTCCTCGGTTCTTTGGTTTCTTGTATTTCTTTATTGGAATCACACTACCGACTCCCATATCATGTGAAAATATTTATGGAAAAGAAATTGTACATATTAAGACATCCCTGAGGGTTTATTAAGTCCCCTGTGGTGTATGTCATTTTGGATGGAGGAGGATGTGTAATTTTGGTGAGTGAGGCAATTCTTTGGGTGAATGGTTCGTGAATCGGATTAGCTACCCGTAGGATAATCATTAAATCAAGCCACTTCGCCTTCGACATTCTGCCAAATAGCAATGTATATTATTAAAATAACCACCCGACTTCTGAACTGTGCCAAATACAAATGTAAATTTGTAAAAATAAATCCCGTGACTGGGGATAAGGAAAATATCAAAAGAATGGGAGAGTTCAATTGTTTTTTACAGAAATCCTACATTGTTTTTATCGTAATGGCTCTACTATTTAAAGCTTAGAATTCTCCCCCGTATTTGACTATGTAATAATTTTTCTTATGTTTGATATTAAGCGGACGATATATAAACTGATTTATTCAAGAATGGGGAGCGGATTATCAAATCCCAAAATCAAAACAATTTCCGAAGGAAGGAACATTCCTGAAGTTCTTCCTCTCCAGTGATCTTGAATCAGTAGATTATAACATAGAGAACTTAGTTTTTTGCAAGTGGTCGCTCCCTGAGTTTTTCTTACGCTGGTGCCGTCTGAGTACTTTGACATTTGAAAGGGATAAAAATTTTCCCTGGTGTTGAAGCTGGTGCTATATTAGCTTCATTTCTAGCTATAAATTTCGACCAGAGTATTGACGATCTGATTGTCGATGACCAAACAGGGCATGTAAATGTCTCTAAGAATCTACCCGAGGCGTATCGATGTAATTTTGACACTAAATTCCAGGATACATTTAGACACCTACTCGCATCAAAATTAAATCAAGCCGACCCCACCTTCTTTCAGCTTTACCAGCTCAACGGTAAGGAATTGTGCATTCTATCTGCCAACGTCGACAAGTTATCTATGAAATACTTTCATCCTAAAATAACCCCTCATGTGTTTATCTCTCATGCTGAGTTTATGTCTCTCAGTATATCAGAAATTTTTGCCTACATAACATATGGCCCTGGTAAAGAAATATACCACTTCGTTAATGGTAGCCTGTACTGCAGCTATCCAATCCATTGCCTCGATGGCTGGCTACTCTCTATGGACTCTGCTGATTACATTCTAAATCAGTTAGAAGATCCTCCTCATTCTCAATCCCCAGAAGAAGCCTTCAGTTTTAGAAACCATGGCACGCTTCGTTTCTACCCAATCGAAAAGTATCATGAAAAATAACTCGTAAAGCCTGTACTAAGGTAATGTCTATATTCGAGAGCGTACAATACGAAGACCAAAGTGTTTTGGAAAGTATCTTTGACGACAAAATCTTTTTATCAGGTCATACGCTTAGCAGAGAATATCGTTTATTTTTCTGTCCAGAGTTCGGAGGAAAGGCTGAGGAATGCGTATTATTTTTAAAGACCCTTTCTCACGAAGTGTCCAAACTGACGAGAAAAGTCACTAAAGGTTTCGTTGAAAAGAAAATATTGGCAGCTCCAGAAGAATTCGCTGAAACTTACAAAGTGAATATAAATAACTTTATAACGCATTTATTTTTGTACGATTTTCGAAGCACAGCGGCATTCTTCTTTCACTTTGTCAAAAGCTGATTTTGATAGGACTGTCGGAATATTCTGCGGCCACATTGGAAACCGTAATATTAACATCGAGTACGAGGACCAAACGTTTCTCTATTCTCAGAGCTTGAACGCAACTGTAACTTATTTGCAACAGAAGAAAAAGGCATTGTGACTGTCGTCTGTGTTAACCTAACTATTGTATGATACTGACAATAACGCAGTTTTTTTTTTCATTTAATCCTTTATTCTCTAAGGATTTCATCTATATATAGGTAAGAGAAGACTTTAGCGACCCGAAAGTTTGCATCATAAATCCTGTATTGACTAAGTGCAGGGATTTGAATAACTAAGTTACTAACAATCATGGCATCTCACATTAATATCGAAATATCTACTTTCAAAAATTCGCACTTGATGCATGTGAAGCTTGTAATATTAGATATAAATAATTCACTTTTGCTAATACATATTAACTCCCTAAATTTTCATGAATTAAACTCGTCGACTTGTCTGATTTTATCGCTGATGCACGCCCAGTTAAAAACTCTAATTGTGTGCCCTGAGAAATGTTTTCTTACATCTTGAGCGAAGTTCACTAAAGTATTACACGTTTCTGTGAACGATTCTATCAAGTTTTGCTTAGTTAGACTCTTGCCTGCCAATATAATTGGTTCATAGATTGAATTTGTCTTTTTTAATAAATTAAAAGTGAAGATACTCTACATTTCTATTACAGCTGATACTAAAATATTTGAAGCTCTACAATTCAGCGCACTCGTCTCGTTCCACTGAAATTAATTGCTATATACGTTTTACTTTTGGACCGAATTCTCACTCTGCTTAAGTTGACAAATCGGGCGGGGTAGTTGACCCTGACGACGTGCAGTTCGTTTTTTTTTTTTCATTTTCGAATTACGATTGTCTGTACCAGTATGCGTTTGATTGAACCGATAAGTTTTCCTTTTTTTCACTCTTTACTTTCGAAAACTTTTGAAATTTTCAGTTTTTCATTTCTTACTTTCTGATTTTGTGAACATTTATTTGTTCACTTTTTCATTTCTGTTTATTTCCGTTTTATGACCTTCCACTTATTTTATTTACCGTTTAAAATTTGGTTGAATTACTTATTATCTTTCGTTTGCTACATTATTGTTTCATTTTACTTTATTTGCTCTTGACTGTTTTGTTTTTCGTTAATCAATTTAAAAAAACAGAAGAACACTGTTATTTGTACGATTATGGTGGGTTTTTACAACACCATGGTCGACTAAAACAATGACAATGTAGAAACACCGGTAACTAAACAGGTGTCACCAGATAAAACGGCCTGAACGGCAAATAGGCAAGAAAAACAAGATGGCGCTTTTTATGTGAAGCAACGCAAGAAGTATGAAGATTCGTTTAAATATAAGGAAATCTTGAAAATTCGGGAAGCGCTGGATGCTGTCAGCCCACGCACCATATCCCTGGTGACTTCCGAAAGCATAGAGGAAACCCTCAAGGCATTGCAAATTAGCCCAAGGGTGCTGGCCAGAAGAACGAACGTTAGAGTAACAAGCCAAGGATTTAGCGGGGAGTATATTAGCCACTAAACCCTGCGACTACAGACCGAGTATATGGGCACTCGTAGAACAAAGATCACCCTTCATAGGGTGCCAGTGGACATTCCAGATTATAGAATGGGGGTGTTCTTCGCTAAATTTGAAAAAAGGAGAAAAACCGGAATAGAGACTGGGGATATGGAGATCCATATCACTATTAATAGGAAACAGTTCCTAGAAATCCAGAACAGGGATAGAAGAATGATGGTTATTGTAGAAGGTAGGAGACCGTGATGCTGGTCGTGTGGAGCATCGAGGAACATGGCAAAGGAGTGCTTTGGAAAAAAGGTACAATCTCCACCACGTCCAGCAATGACAGCAACAACAACAGAAGTGCAGGCAGAGGAAGGGACTTGAAAGAAAGTCGCCGAGTGGAAGGAGGTCACGAGAAACTGAAAATCATCCAACGGTCAGTCTCCCCCTAAAGAGATGGCCCAAACAAAGAAGCCATTCCCACCGTGGGAGCGGTCAGAGAAGCGAAAGGAGGTACAACAATCTAAAGAGGTGCAGCACACAAAAAAGGGGCAGCAACAAGAACAACTACAGAGGAAGAAGCAGCAGCAGCAACAAATACACATGGGGGTGGATCAAATGCCTCCACCTCGGGCATATTCATTGAAGTGAACCAGAGAGGAGGAGGAGGAAAAACCAACACAGAGGCACTCTGACTGTAGCAGAGCGGTAAAGGACAAGGCCAAAACTCTCCGTCCCTGCTTCGCCAAGAGAAACCAAAGAATCAACAGAAAAAGCGAGAAAACTCTCTGCTTCCTCTTCTCTTTCTCGTTCTCCCCCTTCCTCCATTTCTTCCCTTAGCTCTATATCCCCTCCTCCTCACACATCCACTTCTTCCCCTACTCACCCATCAAGGGAGAAGAAGAAAAAGAAACGTTTTCAAGGACCGGAAAAAAATTTCCAAGGTGGAGAGAGATGAAGCAAAAAAGAGCCTGTCCAATCAAAAAAGTGATCTTTTAGAGCTTTTATTAAAAATGGATAGCATCGACGGAAAGTCAGTGAAGGATCCGCGGAATTTCCCTCACGCCCTTGGAGTTATTACCCTAATGAGGGATACAGGGAGATAACTTAATTTCAGGAGTCACCTATTTGAGGCCAATGAGGCTTATCCAAATCTAAGGATACTTGAATTGGACAATGCTGATTTAAAAAAGCTGAGACATTTTTATTCTGGGAGGGTCCCTGTTTTGCTCCATTCCTCCTGATATAGGGCAGTTCAGCTACGGATATCGGCGGTATTACCCAGCATGGTCAGATGACGACGGAGTAGGGAACAGGGAACCTGGGATAATCCGTCGGGGATATTAACGCTGCAGATTTCCACCCTGTATCGTAGTAGGTGACTTCTTTACTCTCTTTTATTTTTCAGGCATAAAAGATGTCTGTTAAGATAGCCTGTGTGTATGTCTTGTGGCAT